CGGCGGTGGCTGTGTTCTTAAATTGTGCATTGTAAGCGTGCTTTCCAATTATCCGCTATTTTTTTTCCCCCATTTGAATAGCGGCAAACCTTTTATTATTTTTAGAATGCAAAGTGACTCCTCAAATTTCTTTTGTCCAATTAACAGTCCAGAGAGAAGCAGCAAATCTGCACTAAGGACGAACAGGAACCAGAGGATAAAGTTATTTTTCTGGCCTTTATTATATAGGACAGTGAAGAGAGAGACAGGAAAGTAGGGGAGAGGGACTTGCAGCAAAGTGCCATGAGCGGGATTCGAACCCACGGCCGCTGCATTGGGGACGTTAGCCCCTGTACATGGGTCGCCAGCTCAACCAGGTGAACTATAGCGGCAGCCACATTTAGCCTTTTTAAAATTTTTCACAATATTAATTAGCAAAATAGAAAATGAATTCCTATGTCTAGTTTGTTTGCATCTGTTTGGCTACAATGCACATGATTTTACTTTTAGCTTTCATGGGATCTTTCCCCAATACTTGTCAAGAGAATGCTTGTGGAGGTTTATTAGAGCTTATTGTGGGCCTACATGGTTCAATCAGTCTGAGAGGAGGCGAGAAATGTTAAAAGACAGATCAGCTTTCTAAAGATCGAGGATTGTGTGTCAGATATTCTTCTCGTCAGTCCCATAAGAAGTTGTTGATATTCTGTGTTACAACACATACATAGATTTTGCTGTGAGTAGTGCTGGATATGTGTTAGTGAAGTGTGTGTTGGCATTTTTCTCAGGCACCTCCCTGCTCCTGCCTGTAGGCCTGGATGCTGAGTAAGTGCTTCAGACCTGGAGGACATTAGAATAGTTTCATCCTGTGCTCAATTAAGTCATTTTGTGGCACACCGTGTTACATCCTGGAATGACAAACACACAAAGGCCAAAACAACGCAACCCAACACACACCTTGGGTAGCTGTTAGACTCTGTCCTATCTATGTATCTGTAATAACTCAGGGGCAGCGGGGATTTCCTCACCACAGAATCACTAGTTCAAATATTTGCCAGCGCCATGTTGAACTTTGCCCTCCACGTTGAGGCGCGTTCCCGTTGCGCAGGTATTATGGGTAACATTTACGACAGTTTGCGCGCTTTGTTTTCGTTGCGAATCACCGCGAGCCTCGAGTGCGCCTTTTGTCCTGCCGTCAAACATTTCCAAATCAAAGCGGATAGCTGCAATTACAGCCAGTGCGCATGCCCGCGCTAAGTAAACGTTCAGCCCCTTTTCCGTGCGTGCGGGCGCGCCCAAGGAAAGAATTTGAGGCCGCGCGCGCTGCTGATGTTGTGACTTGTTGCGAATGACGGAACGTCAACGACAAAAGAGGCTCAGTGAAGCTGTGACAGAGCTAGACAGGTTTAAAAATAGAAGCAGAAAATATCTATAGGAGTTGTGATATATACTGTGTGGTCGTTGGTTCTGTGTGTGGGAAATAAAATCACCAAAATACACCTGAAGTCCGTGTATGCGCACCTTTAAGGTAACCAGAGCCGCTGCACAGTAATGTGACATATTGTAGGAATATGATGACAACAACAAAACATAAAGCTGCTTTAAGGTCTGCATTACTTCTCAAGTGTCAGACTCACTGCACCTAAAAGTCAAATATTATAGAGACACATGTTTTAATCTTCAGGGCGACACAATCAAAACCTAAATGTCATCAAGAAGTGACTTTTGAGTGTTAAAATGATTATTGTGTAAAATAGGAATGATAGGAAGGTGAGAAAAATAGCCCAATGTCAAGAAACACAACATAATACGGTTTGATTTAAAATAAATTAAAGCCATAACACTAATTAAAGTTACTATTAAGTATTTGAATGTCAAGATTAACTCACTTTTGAGTATTAAACACAATGTATTATATAATAACCTATATACTGAACCTACTGTACAACTATATTAAAGACATTATTCTATAAAAATGCTCAAGAAAAAATGACTACTTGAAGTTGAACTCACTTTCAGTGTCAGATACAATCTATGATGTAAAAAATATTATATGAGTATGATAAATCTATTATAGTGGAATAAAATCACAAACAATGTACCAGAATATGAGTATGAGTATCAGATGTAATGTTTAAGATCTTATAGGAATCTAATAGTCATTATAGTAATTAAAACTACTAAAAATAGTACCTCAGTAACTCCCTGCTTACATTAAAGCAATATGGAAAAGTTGCTTAATGTGAAGATAAACTTACATTTGAGTATTAGAGACAATAAAATATGATAAAATTAAACACAATGCAACCATAACATTAGATAACTTTTCTGATAAAAGTATCTGAATGTTAAGATGAACTCACTTTTAAGTGCCAACACTATATGTTATGGGAAAATACTAAAGCAAATATTATGCCTTTAAATAATAATATACATGTTATATTACTCCCTGAGGGTTAGGATCAGCAACAATATATTATGTTGAACTATATGAATATAATAAAACCGTAATGGTAGATTGAACTTACTAAAAAAAAATTTAAAAAAAACAAAAAAACAACATACAATAAGATATAAAATATTAAACTGAATATAAAGAAACTCATTTTTGAGTGTGACAAACACTAAATATTATAGTTACTGACGGTTTCCATAAAACGGGAACCAACATAAACTCCCTTTGTACTTTAGGAAAATAATGACCAAAAAAAGTCACCATAAGTTCAAAATAAACTCACATGTGAGTCAGAAACGTGCTTCAGGTTCTGGTAAGATAGTTTTATAGGACTCTTATTGAGAATATAAATAAATAAATAAATAAATATAATATCAGTATAATCTCAGTTTTCATGATAGACTCTGGAGAAATAGGAGCAAAAAGGTGGATGTATGTGTTATTTGTAGGATGGGCATTTATACAAAGCACACGTTAAAACTCGCTCTTATACCTGCAGACACTTGTTTACATCACACAGTGAGACTTGTAGCGCTACAGATTTTACAATCGGCCTGTCCTGAAAGTCGCGCAATAATTCTTTTGGGTATCAGGCTGTTTTATTAGTCATCAGAAACCCGTGATGGATTATTAAAGCGTTGCCTCTAATCCTAACATCCTCCGCGCACAGAGCACTATCAGTTAGAACACACAGTCGCTGCTGCAACGCGCTAATATCAGTCTAATGGTGAGTAATATAGATATGGGGATTTCTGCAGGTGTCACAAAACAAGATAGTGCGTTGGCTAATTTCATTCTGTGCGCGCTTGGTCCTACGTGTGTTGCATTGTCGCCAATTTTCACTTTCCCCCCCAAGAGTGCGCATTTTCTGCAACTCAAATAAACTGGAGGAATAAATCATTTCAAGTCGCGTAAAAGCTGCTTTTTATCTTCCTGTGGTTAATATAAAATATGCAGGTTGGATGCAATCTTATGACACACACCAAACCGCACCATTACGCTGCGTAAAGATCCCCTCCAGGCACTTGTAAAGACATACAAATAATACGTTTTTAGGAATAATTCTGATTTGCTTGACAGGTTATGCAATTAAACTGAATCAATTACGTGATTATAAATTCGTAAAATGACATTTAAGCCTGCACCTTCATTTAAAAATTATTGTAAAAGTTTAACTGCTGGGTTCGAGGTGTCTCCTGAAAGCCAATCCTTTTCCGATCCAGGTTTCAAGTTTCCACATCTCATTGTTTTAAGTTGCCTTTAGGACCTGGATAAGTTCGGCAGGTAAATGAGCTCGAAGGAGCTTTCAAATTGAAATCAGCTTTTGAGTTTAGCATAGTTCTGTACAGTAAAACTCAACATTTAAGTGGAGTAACTGTGACCCAAATACATTTTTACGCACTTCAAAATCGAAGAAAGGAGCGAGAAGGTGTCGGATGGGAGCGAAATCGCGTAAAAATAACCATAAATGTATTTCAAAATATATGTATTCGAAAGTAAGACTTAGTTTTCTGCGCACTCAGGACTGCGTTATATCGATTACCACTCTGACCGAATAACAACAGGGAATAATATTAAGACAGGTTTGAGACAATGATCCCTCTAATTCCTAGAAATGCAGATTTATTTAGTCCTCGACGTTTGCAAGATGTGTGGATTCATTTCCCTCCACAGAGAAAAAGGTAATTTGATGCGCAATAAGGGGAAACAAGAAGGCGATTATACGCGTAAAAGCTCCAAAATTAACAAAAGAAAAAAAATTGAATTCCGTCGTTAAAGCCCAGATAACTACTGGTTAGCCCCAATAATCCGTAAGAAATCTTCATATTTCTGAGGTAATCCTTTCAAACTGAGTGGATCAGTGCTGCAGACATTCAGCCAAGCTATTTATTTTTGCTCCTCTTTGGGGGGTAAAGAAATTGGAATTTCAACAAAGACTCCTCTAAAACATGTACTTGAAATAAACCTCTCTTTTCCTGGAGTTTATTCAAACAAACATGTTACCATAAACACATGAGGACTTTGAATCACCTTTTTGTATACAGTTTAGGCTAATGAACTTACTTCTGCAAAGTCTTACATTATCGTACAAAACACGTTGCACTCAAGTTAAACATGCGGGCTGTTTCTATCTCAGCAAACAAAATGAAAACAGTTCAAACGGGAGGCGTCCTGGAGGTGGCACCCTGCGTATATACGGTAAATAGAAAGCACACAGAAGCAGTATAAAATATGTACAATAACGTCTAGATTTCTTCTTCTTTTTTGAGTCTGGTTTCTTTGTAAGCTCGACGTTTTTTATTTATTTTTTTCTTTTCTTGCAAATCCTTGTTTTGTTTTTTTTTTATTTTCTGGAGAGCTCCCCTCAGTCAGTCTTCAAAAGCAAGCAAGCACAAAAAAAAAATCCCAATGTCTGTTTCATATGTTAGACCTGTATATATTTACATTTAGATATATACAATGCAGCAATGTAACACGTCTTCATCATTAAAAAAAAAAAAAAAAAAAAAAAATACAACATCAAATTAGACAACTAATGTTTGCAAGTTCTAAAATGTGATGACCAAAAAACCTAGACATTTAAATTGCTGTGCAAGTTCATTGGTAAACACATGTAACCCGCATAATCCATTTTTTTTCTCTTTTTTTTTTTCTTTTTTTCTTTTTTTTTTTTGTTGAAAAATGATTGCAACTAATCCAGTTTAGTTGTCTTTGATTTATTTATTTTTTTCTCCCATCCGCAGGTAGCCCATAAGCTCTGACACCGTGTCCGTTTATCACATATATAATTTTCTATTTCTGTAAATTTTCTGGCGCGCTGTTGGCCGGTCAGCTGTTGTACTGACAGGCGTTCAGGCTGGACCCGGGGCTCTGCAGCCCGCTGTATCCGAACGTGGGATGCTGCTTGGATTTCAGTCTCAGAGTGGCCAGGCTCGAGTTGCAAGTGTCCCGGTAAACGCTGTACGGAGAGCCGGGAGGCCCGTACGGACACGCGGACGACGACATGGCCGAGTTGATGCCAGACGTCCCGATCCCGTTCAGGTTGCTGATGTTGTTGAGCCCCGGGGTGGGCATGCCCGGCACGGCGGAGTGGCTCATCCCGGAGGCCATGGTCATGGAGGAGATGGAGTTGGGCGCCGAGAACATGGACTGTGAGGTGAGCGGACTCATGGAGTTGAAGAAGGTGAAGTTCTTGGTGGACAGCGGCGCCGGGGTGAGGCCCTTGTTGGTCCAGTTGTTGTAGGTGTAGGCCGGGTACATGTCGTCGTAGGGCTGCATGAGGCCGCTGAACTGCGGCAGGTAGCTGTTCTTGCACAGGTCCATCTGCTGGTTCCGCTCCCGCTTCCTCCACTTGGCCCGGCGGTTCTTAAACCAAACCTGCACCAAAGAAAAACGGCAGCACAGTGAAGCAGAGTCACATTAGGTACACTTAAAAAATAAATAAATAAATCCCGTTTGGGCTCAACAACATCAACAAAGACAAACAAATAAAATATTCTGCATTAGTCTTTTTGACTTGAGACAGCCTCTAATGGAATTATGTTCAATCAACAAACTGTAATGAATTATCTGCATTAGCTTTTCCTCTACTGTCTGCTTTATTTATTTAGTTTTTCATTATCAGCCACAACTGTTTGAAATTGTGCAGACATGCACTGTAAAAACTGAGTTTTTTTGTTGTTGAAACATTTACTTTTACTTTTACAGAGCCCCATTTTTGTTCAATTGCTGATATCTTGTAAAACCACAGAAAAAAGGTACTGCTTTAGATGTTGACTGTTAAACAATTGAAATTGAACAAAATGTCAAGAATGTAAAGTGTGCCAAAACCTGACTATGAAATCACACCTTGTAATCAAATCTGCTCAAAAAAAATTGCATTTTATAGATATTTGCTGTTATTTTTTTGTTACTGCAGTTTTTGAACATCACACTATTACACTATTTTCAGTGTATTTTTCCTGCCACTTTTGCTGCCACATTTTTAATATTTTTGTTGTTGTTGTTGTTCTTACAGTGTAATGTAGAGGACCTGAAATCCTGAAGCCCACATTAAGCAACAATTAATAAGCCAATTTCACAAGGTTACCTCAACTTGACTTTAATTTTAAATCAACTAATTTAAAAATTTGAATTTAAATTATACACAATACTAAATATATAATTAGCATTGTGTAGTACTTCAAGACAATCAAAATAATGTTTGCAGCTTAAGCTTTATCTAAATTATTAAAAGAAAAAAAAGAAAATGTATTTCATAACTTGGTCAGAAAAGGTTAATTATTTGTTTTAAATGTACTTCTAAGGGTGTATTAAGGAGGTAACAAGGCCTTCCCAAAATAATCTAAAATAATCTACATCCAATTTTGCGGCAAACCCCTAAATATCACAAGTATCTCAAATGTGCATTATGTTGTAAAATCAGTGAATCAAAGCTTTCCATCAGGAGTCACGCTGTACCACTCTCCCCCCTAAATATCCTAAATTATACTTCTGTCCAAGCCTCCAGGGTGTGTCAGTGTTTGGGTCAGTAGGCAGTTTTTAAAATACTAAATAGTATGTGCTATTAAAAAAAAATCTAAACAAAACACACAATAAAATGAAAGATTTTTGTAAAATATTATTCCAATTAAACTGAGTAGCACCATTCCTTTGAAATATTTAACCTCAAACAATATTTTTTAGAGTCACACTCAGCAGCTCAGGTCTAAATTTGAAGCTGCTCTTCCGAACTGACTGAAAGCTCCTTTAATACAACAGCGTCCCTGTAATGTTGTCGGATAGCATTATATTACAGGGAGAAAAGCAAACACTGCATTTGTAACTATGATCAATTACACAACAGACACTATTTGCAGAGTTTTTAATTATTTTCTCTGTATTTTATTTTTTATATTCACAAAAGTCGGTTAGTGCCTTTTTAAAAAGCGCTTTATTTGCGTAAACGTGTCCTGAGTTTTTCAGTACTGAGAGCTGTTCCTGACAGCTGTTGTTGCTCTTTTTCTTTTTCTCCAGTGAACACAACAAATTGGACTTGGTCCTGAATGTTTGCTTTGCTGCGTCGAAACACTGATTCAGATTAGAGGATGAGCTTCTGCTGCTGGATTTTAAATTCATCCAGTAAAAAAAAACTATCGTGTAATTTGCGCAAAATCGGCGCCTATAGAAAAAAAAACACTCAAATAAAAGCATGAGAAGTGAAACTAGCCGTTGTTTTCTAAAATCCTGGTTTGTGTTTCAGTATTATAAATCGCTATTTATTATAATTTTTAGGCAACTTTTATTTTGAGTTGTGGCTACTTATCTAATAAATATTATATGAGCTCTACAGGACTTTAACTTAATTCAAGTTTTGCTCCAAATTGTCGTTACATTAAAATATTTTAATTAAATACTCCATAAGGAAAAGTATTCTTTAAATATTTTTATTATTGGAAATCGTGTTAAATTCCTGCTATTTAAAGTCATTTATGACATGCTAGTGTGAGTTTTGTTGCTTTAAGCGCTGATTATAAATTGCGTAAATTAAATAAAACAATAGGAGCAGCAACAATAATTGCGGCGTATCAATGTTAACGTTACTGCTTCGTCTACACCAGTGAAAACAGAATTATTTCTGCTTTTCCTGCAGGTGAAATGACCGCCTGTATGTGTATATAGACTATATATCAGTATGTGGGTCAGACTGGCTGAAATAAAACCAACAAGTTTACACCCTGAATCAAACAGAAACAGCGGACGAGTGTAAATGAATCAGAAACGCGCCTCTGGAAATCCTCACGTCTTATCGAAACCTGACAAAACCTCCGTTAGTCTGCACTCTGCGAGTCATTTTTAATTCATAGTAGAAACAGTTTACAAGTGGCCTCATCGGAGGAGGCTATTTATAGCGGCGCAGGGAACAGGGTGCTGCCGACAAATTGTCCACAAAGACATGAGCGATGTGACGGAGAGCCGTGGAGGAAACACGCAGGCTGCATTTCACAGCTCGTGTGAGACTCCAGTTTCCTCTACAGAAGGAGAAAAAATGTATACTTTGAGTTTGAATGCCATGTTAAGACACGGAAACCTCATTAAAGATAATTAAACGACGGTGAAATCCAAAACAGCTGAGCTCGCAAATATCATTCAATTAAACTGATTATCTGAGAAGCTTAATTAAACACCAAGGCCCTTAAAAAGGTCACTTCCAGACACTTTGAAATGTCACATTTTATTAAAACGCTCAGACGCAGAGCTGAAGCGCTCAGACTGCTCCGTGTCACGCCACGCTCTTTACAATGTTTTCTTTTGATTCAGCCAAAATAAAAAGGCTGCTCTGTTTGAACATTCCCCCTCCTTGGCTGCAAAAAAAAATCCTGCACTCTAAACGTGTTCTGAGAGTTTTTACAGTTTTTTTTTCTCTCCCCCTGCACTCTAAATAACTGTATGCATTTTTTATGCAATTTGAGACGGTGGATTTTGCAAGGACGGGCTGTCAGGCGCCAGTTGCTGCAAATGAGAACCAACTGCAATTGTTTTGTGTTTAACACACGTTTCTTGCAACCACAGTTTTTCCCAGCAAAAAGGGGGAAACGGCCCAAATACACGTATGTACCAACATCTTCCACTGAAATTCACCAACAGGAAAAAGGTAATTTATGGTGTCGACTATTTTCCAATTGAAAAATCCTAAGACAGAATCTTTTAGAATTAAAATCTATTAAACAAGATGTCCACGTCTCCCATATTGTTAAATGCACCTTCCTGATGCTGAACCCTCCTTTAATATAATCGCATTGTTGTTCCTATTCATTAACCAGATAGATTTGACGACACGAACAGCCTCCCTGGGAAGAACCGAGGGTCCAGACTGGTGATGATGTCATCAAAAGACAAATCATCCATTGGCTCCATTAGCAGCGCGGATACACCCTTAAAAAGGATGTCTCATTTCCAACAAAGCCAGGGAGGTAAAGACAGCTTCCATTTCTGCTAAATTTTCAGCATGAAATATGTTCACATTAATGCGTTCTACTGAGACCTGCACTGTTAGACCTGTTTGTCAGAAATGCGCAGCGTTGCACATGACGCACAGAAGACTTAGGTTTTAGCGCTGACAGTCAGGGATGACTGCAATTTAATATCCGTTAACGCTACACTTTTGAAAATCTCCCAGTTTTTTGTCAGCGGATTTCCTTGAGCGTGTCTCTGAATTATATCACAGATTTAGTTTATTACTTTCTGAGCCGCTTAAAGTCACCAAAGTGTTTCACAGGAGCTCTGGTAAAAGGTTGGATTTTCACCTCAGTAAGAGTGATACTGATATCAGCTTGTTCTGATGGTGGGAGAGTGAGTCCGTGACTAATAAAACTCGCTGAAGAAGTTGTTATTAAAATATGAACAATTTTGTGGAAACAATTTACGTAAATTCAGGGCACGTACCTAATGTGACTAATATAGAACCGTAACTCTTGAGTTTTTATTATTATTATTATTATTGTTGTTAAATTAGAATTGCTTTTTGTTTGGTTAATATAATAACAATAGTTTATATCGGGGTATTTGTGAGAACAATACATTATTTCTTCTCGTGTTTTAAAAATTGTCATTTATTTATTTAATTGCTGAGTAATTTCTCCATTTTCAAGAACCACTCCATAATGTTCTATTTGTAATAAATAATCTACTTGTCAAATCGTCTTTACGCACGCATTACGCACACTTTACGCATGGCCGTCGGCCTGCCCGCTGGCTTCTTACCCGGACTCTGGCCTCGGTCAGGTTGGTCCACACGGCGATCTCCTCCCTGGTGCTCATGTCCGGGTAACGGTTCCTCTGGAAAGTGGCTTCCAGCTCCTGCAGCTGCTGGCTAGTGAAGTGAGTCCGCTGCCGCCGCTGTTTCTTCTTCTTGGGGTCATCCGCGTTCCCATCGTCGCTCCTGTGTTCAGCGCTCCTCTCCTTTTCTGTGGACAATAAGTCGTGGTGAGATAACAGTTTGTTTCACCTTTGAATAGCATGCAAACAGGGGACGTTTTGCATCCAAACAGTTGCGCTATAACCGTAAAATATGTCACAGTGGGATTAGGTACAGCACCGTGCAAAAACTAACGCTATATGTCAACCATAAAAGGCATGAAATAAGCAAAGCCCAAGCTATAAATAAATTATTTACAAAGCTCTTCAAAAAATAAGCCTCAGAGAGGTGACGAATTAAAGCCAAACATTTACAAACATGTCTGAGGGTTTTACATCGATTCTTTCAAACACACTTAGATCTGCCTCGGTTGTCACTGATTACGACGAGGTCTGCCCACTCTTATCTCCCCACTGCTATCGTGTATGTGTGTCCTAACAGGATTGCCTCATTAAAGTGAAGGGGCCACACGTGCAAAGGTCACAAAAAAGGAATAAAGTATCTTGAATGTTTGCCAAAAATAAACTTAAAACCTCAAAAGCCAAAAAAAAAAGTGTTTAACTTAAACCCATGAATAAATCCAACCAATACAATTAGAAACACCCATATTTGTTAAATCTTCCTCGTGTGGACAGAGGCAAAGAAGAAAAGGCCTTTTGTTTTTCTAAAAAATGTGGCAAAGTTGAAAGAACAAGAGGCGTCTCCAGGAATTGTTAATACAGACCTTCTGGCTTTTAGTTTAGATTGGTGGATGGGCCCAGTATTTATAGGTCGTTTTAATGCATTCACTGACAGCAGGCCAGGCTGTTCTGCACATTTTTCCCTGACAGACCTCGGGATCCTGCCAAGTGTTTGGTTCAGCCAGCGCAATAAACAAAAAATGGGGTGTAACTGCACCAAAACTGGACTTTTCCCCTGTTCACTATTCCTGCGCATTAAACTTTAGAGCAGGAAAATAAGATGTTCAGGATGTGGTGCATTTTATCCATGTGCACAACATACGGAAATAAATCAAGCAGACACACAAGTTAAATATTCTGTCTCCTTTTCCTGCAGCCTTAAACCGCCGAGGATGTTTCTCTGGCAGCTTGGCCGTAAACGTGCTTATGGAGACGTAAAATAAACTGTTATTGCACTGAGAAGAAGGAATTGAGTTGCTAAAAGCACTCTGACTGTGTACCTGCCAACTCTGTGTCTGACGACTCGCTGCTTGAGTTCTCTAAAGTTTCTCGACTGCTGTTTGAAGTTCTCTGTAAATGAAACGCGGGGGCCACGTCGCGGGGCGGCGGTGCTCTCACTGCCTCTGCGATTCTGTCCAAATTCATCCCACCTTGAAGAGAAGGATGCGTAAAAAGAGGAAACGGGGGTGAATCCTGGGGTGCACAAAGTTCTCCTCAACAGCTGCGCTACAAAAAATCCACCCGCTGTCAGACACACACCACGACATGAGAGGATGAACCATGCAGGGAGAATTTCCACCACAGTTTGTTCCACGAAGTTGGAAGCGGTAACAAAACTACGGGGGAAAAAAATCAACCCGTTCCCTTTCCTCTGCAGCAGTGACGGCCCTGTGCGCTCTCCTTCTATCCGCTGCGGAGAAAAGCTTCTGCCCGCTGTGACCGAGAGGAAGCTCCGGCTCTCCAACCCACACAGGAGACCCACCCATCTGCTGCGTTCAACCTCCCCAAAACGAGCGAGTCCCACCCACTGCCCGCTGCAAGAAAACACCCACCCAGACCAGATACAGTCTGACGTCAGGCTGCAACACATGGAAACAAAGAGTGCTGCTAATTAATCAGACGTTTGCTTCATGTGCATGCACGAGGAAATATCTCCAAATGTGGGAGGAGTGAAAATATCACATTTGAGAAAATGCAGTCTTTCTAAAACGGTAATCCACCATAGTGGAAGTTTCCTCACTTGCTAATAGACTTTTGAGGCTCAGTATTGAAGCGAGGCTGATTATCATGGACATTTTTTGCAGCGTTTACTCTTTTTTTTTTTTTAGTTGTCGGGAGCGCGCACTGCAACGCTTTGCGCTCTTGGAGTAAAATGGGCCTTTTATGCGTGCAGGCATGTTTGAAATCTGTCCAACAGAACGCAGCTGGGTGCGCTTAGACACACACACACACACACACACACACACACACACACACACACACACACACACAGCCACACAATGTATATCTCGGATATGTACTGAGCTGGATAAACATTTGCCCTCTAACACGGGGCCTGCCCAGTTACTGTTTCCTCGGTATGAAAAGTCACGACGATATCAAGTTTATTGTGCGTATGAATGACAAGCACTGTAAACTGACGGCTCATTCATTCACGCTCACAAAGACACCACCAGGACAAATAAATGGCACATCAGATGTCTTTGTCGTTATTCAGCACGATGTGTTTTTTGTATCTGGACCGTGTTTTGCGCAGCAGGGCCAACACCACGTCGTAGCTTCCAAATAAGTAAGAGAATAATAATGTGTTGACAGCAGCAGATCTATGTGCGTTTCACTTTGCTCAAACAACCAAGAGGTTCTAATCACACATTTAAAGTGTTTTTAAACTCCAACTAACAGACTTAATGGTTTTGACCGCCGCGTCCCAACTGATACCTCCAGTGAGTCCACCTGGTTACATCTGACCTCGGTTTGTCTTGTTGGCGCACCAGACGGCCGAACGCTGTTTTCCAAACCACTTATTCAAATCAAAACCAAATGAACTCCTGTGGCATCATCTTGATAAAGATGCGAAGCTCAAATCAGATGTTAGGCCTTCAGTGCGTCCTTTAGAGGGGTTATGTTCTGTCATCCTGCATGCACATGGTTTGCAGTTTCAGAGAACTTTAAGTGAATCCTCTGGAGATTATTCATGTGCAGAACTACTGACCCTCATCCAGATTTTAACTGCTCAACTCAGTGCGTGTTGAATTGAAGTACAACATTCAGCAAAACTTGCAGTGATGCAGCAGCTGCAGTAGAAATTAGACGTTTTTTTCGAAGGTGGTTTCTCCTAGAAAACGCCTCCAAAAGTCAACGCCAGGTGTGGCCTTATTGCAACATTTTAAGGTGTAAGTCGATGTGATGCGTTTTGGTGAGTCAAGAGTCTCGGTTTCATTTCAGACAAATATGAGCAGCCCTTTCGACTCGTTTTCCTTTTACGCACTATGGACATGGGCCTGCGCTGGCCTGTGCGCCTATAATTGAACTCCGTGTGCGCTAATCTCCGTTTAACATGACTGTGGTTTGAATCATTTACAAAGCAGACCTGTACAGTTTTGTGATCTCAAAATAAAAGCAAACGTTTCCTAGTAAAGTCAGAAACTCGCTTCCATTAAAGGTTTTCTTTGAATTTGGAGGTTTTTGTGTTAAAAATAAAATAATTCCAGTCTCCTCGACCCTGCAGAAGTACTCATCTCTTGATAAAATCATCTTCAAGTGTTTTTTTTTTTTTTTGCCAGTTAGAAAAATGCACTTATTTAATCGTGTCTTTGCGCAATTACGCACACACAGAAAATCAAGCGTCTGCTAAACAGAAATGAGGTCACCTTACAAATGTCCTTTTCTGGGTTAATTTCAGAATTACAGACTCCTAGTTTTTAAGTCTCCTCTGCAACGTGAGTCCAACTGACCCACTGTCTTGTTGTGGCTCGGCCTGTGATCTACATGTGTCAGGTAAAAGCGCACCAGCTCAGGCCTCACCGCCTCAGACTCGGACTGTCACCGGCGCCAGTCTCGAGCTTTTTCGGCCATTGTATGACAGCGATTTCTGACATGAGATCCCCGTCCGACCGGAAAACTCCCCCGAAGGCCCTTCGAAAAGACAATTGTGCAAGCTCTCCACAATCACCTCCCTTTCTCCATCTATATTTGCACAGTGCGTGTTAGAGAGAGAAGGGGGCTCCTCTAGGGGGGCTTCATTTTTTATTTTTTATTTTTTACACCAAACAGGCCTTCCAAATTATAACATGTAAATCGGGAATTATGGATGCAATTAGATTAACCAATCCATCGGTTTTGCATTACTATTGAAGAATTCAGTCATTATTCGACCATCTAACTCCAACGTGCGTCATCGTGGCCTGCTGCAGTCACAGTCCTTTAACTATAGTTCACTGCCACAGCCTGCCGAAGTACTTTTGGGCTGGAAACCACCATCCCCTACCTGCTTATTCACGTTCAGAGTTGCAAAGAAGTGCGTAAAATGCGTTTGAGGAGATATCTGGCACACTTTCAAACGCAGCGAATCGTGTAAGATCAGATAAGTGACCTCAAGGACCTGGTCATCAGCAGGTGGTGCTGACTATGCAACAGTGCGTGTTGTTTGGTGGAGGTTATTGGGTACATTGCGTGTCCATGAAGCGCTTATGGGTTGTTTTTTTAGGATTGCAATTGATCCATAGAGCAAAAAAAAAGAAGTAATGTAACCCTCAAAATATGTCGAAATCATGCATCACACGCTGTTAGCAAAATTTGCCATGTTGGAAACTCCTAAAAGCCAGCTACAGTTTAAAGATTATCCCAAGCAGCACAAAAAATTCACAATAAAATCACATTAAACCCAATGACCCTTAAGGTCCCCACAGGAATATTATGGGATTTGCAGCACATGGAGATTCGCCATGGTGGAGCTCTTGTGAATTCTCCCTTCCTCTGTCCACATATTACAGGCTGATAGATGGGGGTAATCTAAATAGCCAGCCTCCTCAGCCTCCATCCCTGCCCGCGTCCCGCTCCTCCTCTGCTCTGGAGGGCACTTGCGTGTGATGGATGAGTTAAAAAGCCTTTCCATCCGGCAGGACAGGTTAAAGGCCAGTGGCAATGCAAACACTCATATTTTTCCTCCAAGAAGTGAAAATAAACGCGGCGAGCGCCATTAATCACACACCAAACACACACAAAAATACAGTCTTGATGTGTTTTTTCTCCCCCCCTCTTTAGGCAAGCAAGCACAGTAAAGCCAACCACGGGGCCGACAAAACAAAGCGTATAGAAAATTAAAGCTGGCGAGCAGATTCAAAGGCAGGGCGGCGGAGGAGATGTAACCGGACACGGTGAGTAACTGGAGAAGCACGGAGCTGATTATTGCCTTGGTGATGGTTTCCCTGCTCGGTCCAAGGCCTGTTTGACCTGCAGTCTGACTACCAACAAACAACCTGACAGAGGGAATGCAGGTGTAAATAAAACGACCTCTAATGGTCAGCACAGGGAAACGCTAATGAGGAAATGCTTAATTTGAACGACAGACGTTTTTATCACGTTTACGCAGCAGCCGATTTTTGTTAATCTAAAAAAAAATGTTTATCTTAAATTAAAATTGGTTCTTAAGATGAGAAAATTTAAACGTGTAAAGCACAAAAAAGTGTTTTTGACTCCCCAAAACAGCACAATAATAGAAGACCTCAAGGATTCTACAGAGAATGCAGACTAGGCAGGAATCCAAACCGTGCCATGCTGCTTCAGTGTATTTATCTTCCCTTTCAAGCTGAAGCTGGTTTGTTATTATAAATGATTATTTCCTAAAAGAAAATTAGATTAAAATAGATTGCACACAATCAGTCTCAGCCTCACGTGTATGTCTGCCATCTAAATGCCTAAAACCTGGAGCATTTTCCAAAGTTTGCCCGTCTCCATTTTACGCATGGCTCTTTCTTTGGTCTGTGATTAAATCCAGAAAACCTCATTTTTATTCGAGTTAAAACTTTGTTATTGTAAGACAAAGATCTCATGAAACATTTTCCATTCTGAGTACAGCTTTTTGTAGCTTACTGTCCATCTGGCTTGATTTTTCATTTTTGTGTTTTTCATTTTTTTTCTGACTCAAATGCGAAACAACTCGCCAGGAAATCATCATCATCAGAAAGCAGCTACAAAAAATAAAGGAGATTACTGCGTGTAAGCGAAACTCAGCTACAGGTTATAAATGAAAATGCTTCAGTCTGTTTTCATTTCATATCTATTTGCAAGTCATTTTTTTCTGATGATTCTGCCTATCAGCATGTTTTTTTTTTTTTTTTAAATGCCATGCGCTTTAATTCCACACACTTATTACGCACATTACACCAAAAAGCCAAATAACAGATGTCTGACTTTGCTCCAAACTGAGACTGTAGCATCATTTCTGTTTCCACAGGTTTCTATTATAGTTTTGTTGCGAGTAGATCAGAATGTTTCAAGAAAAATATAATTCTCTCATAGGCAGTTTGAGTGTTAAACCGAGCATAGAACATGTCATACCTGGGTCCCCACAAGAAATCACATTCTTTGACAGATTCAGTTCCATTCCAGTTGCCTGAAAAACACAAGAAAATTACATCAGGAGAAATTCTCTGCATCAAAGACTTAAATAAAGCCAAACACATACATTTTTCTTTAATTAGATAGTGTCATAATCAGATTTTAATATGATATGCTGTGTAAATTAAAGTTATTTCAACACCAACAGGTTGTTTAAGTCACATTATAATAAACAAATAATCCTATAACATAGAAAGCTTCATATTAAGGTTGAACCGTTTCTGCGCCCTTGGCTGAATCCACTCGTGTTTAAAAAATATTACAAAGGAAAAATTCCAAGACAATGAAGCAAAAAAAAAAACTTAACCGCATAATAAAAATAACAATTACGCCTATCAAACGACCTTTCTCCAAACGTTTTCACACATTTTAACGTTTAGTTTTTTGTAATAAAACGCCTCCAGGCAGGTTCTCATGCTTTGGGCCCACAGTAACATCCTTGACCCAACATCACAGACACTGAGTTTACCTTTGCCACGACACTACACACACTCACAGAAAAGCTCTTATCTACAGGAATCCCTTTGCTGCTTTTATGTCCTCAGTAAATCTTCACTCAGCTCCTCTCTGTGCCTTCGTGCTTCAGTGCGCACACACGCCTGCATTTTATGTTCATTTAAGGTCCCACATTTTCTCTGGAGTACACCAGAGATAATACAATAGACTCTCTGATGATAATGACGCTCTGAACAGCAGTGACAAAACCGCTAACTAATGTTTTTACAGGCGCCTCAGATCGTCTCTGTGCGTAAAGCTGCATCCACTCGGCCTCTCTACGGTCACTGCAGCCTCTCTGACCCCCAACTAGCAGCCAGCACGCACCGCTTAACGGAGTCCACACTTGTCAACATTTAATTTTCTTTTTCACGCCGCGCCCGGCATCATGCGCGACTCGTATTTCCAACATGAAGTGCGAGATGCCAGGCGATCATCTGACCGATTCCAACAGCTGAAAAAAATCGCTGACCAGCTTTTTTTTTTCTTTCTTTCTTTTTTTTCTACTCACCAGTTGTTTCCCAGCAGACGACAGGAGAGAAAAAAAAAGAATAAAGCCTCACAGTTTCCCCATGCAGGTGCTCAGTAAATCCAACTTTAGCGTCGACTGTGCGTAAATGCTGCGTCCGCGGTAATCAGCGCTTTGGGTGCCTGCGCCGCGCTGCCGTTTGGTTTTCTTCGCGAGCGCTCCGCTGCACGCCTCGCGTTGACGTCACGACACCGCAACCCCCCGCAGCCGCCGCCACCGCCACCAACACCTCCCACCTCCCGGCCGTCACCCTCCTCATCCTCCTGCACCTCCAGGCTCCTCTTCATCGTCTTCTGCGCTTCTTCATCTGCACCATTTGTTTTCCCCCCCAAAAAAACTAATTCTTCATCTTCATCGCCATCCTCACCTGGGGTCACCATCATCTTCCTCCTCACCTTCCTCCCTTAATTTCTTCATCAATTTCTCACCCTCCTCTTCCTCGTTGCATTCATCCTCCATTTTCTTTAACATTTTCTGATCTTCATCTTAAACTGTAGTTTCATCGTCATTTATTAAACTCAGTATGTGAACAACACAATAAGAGTCCAAATAAAATAGGCTCTAATAAACTCTCCAACATAACAATAATGTTATTATTAATGATAATAATTGTAATGATACTGATAATAATAATAATTATGGTTTTTGTGATGCGCAGTAGAACCTATAATTTCTGTTCTATCCACGTTTTATAATGATTTTCTGTAAACTCACACAAGTTGTCTCGAAATTTCCCCAAAATTGTCAGACTGCTTAAAAAAATACGTTAACAGGAAACACACGTCTTGTATTTTAATTCTTCCATTTTCAGATTTTCGCTTTTCATTTATTTAACGCAATACGAAAGCCGACAATCATTTAAACGGAACTGATCACACAGGCTGCATGTTGTTTACATTTTTATACCTAATTTCTATTTTTGTCACTATATTTGACGCACACACTCGGTAGCAGTTTATGTGTGTAAATGTACAGCAGGCTGTCATGTGTTTGGATGCGGACATTGTTAACACTGTTTGTCTTTTCGATAATTAATTGAATCGGCAAACAAAAAGCGCCTGTGACCACTGCAGCCAAAGTCCTTGTGAACAGATGATTATTTAACTATTAATTGTTCATGTCCTAATATTTACACGCAGGTTTGAGCAATGTTTTTTCCTGCTATGCAAAACATTTTAATTGCACCACGTTTTATTTGTTTGGGGGGGTTTAAAATGTTGGAAATAGCTTCTGAATTAGTTTTTGCAACTTTTTTTTTTTTTTTTTGACAGGAATAATTCGACTGAAGTTTTCTGAAAAGGGAAAATGAAAACATTCAAGCCTTGTTGGAGCAGCCGCACAGAGGAGAAACAAAAAGGTAAAAACAACGACAAGAAAACAACCCTCTGGCTAAAGCACATAAACGCATGATTTGGAGCATTTTAGCGCAGCGACGCTGTTGTATTAATGGACAAAAGGCCTAGAAATGCAACTGAAAGGCCACAAGGAGCCGAGATTAAAGTATTTGGAGTGTAAGCCGTGGACTGACTGCATCACAGGAAATTTTAATTAAACTGGTGATTAAATTAACATCCTACAATAAGCTATAAAAAATAACTTCCTTATCATCCTTTCTGCGTGGTTCATCTTTGAGACAAAACCTTCAGGCCGGATTTCAAGCGTCCATCGCCAAGACGCGCAGCCGCACCGCTCAACCCGCGCAGCAAAGAATATTTCCAGCTTCACATGCTCGCTTTACAAGCTCCTTCTTTTGGCCTGAGACATGGGAGAAAGTGTGAAATTTGTCCCACCCTTACACTTTCCTTTTTAACTCGGCCAAGAGCTGCGCACAAAGCAAAGCCGGGCTCTGAGAGAGGGATCCTGGAGGGATTAAAGGGGAGCTGCGGGCCTCCCTCCAGGACACGGACAGACCTCCTTCCCATGGTGCCTGTCGGAGACACGGGAAGGCTCTATCTCACCTCTCCTCACGTCAGCTGTTTCTTTCTTGTTCTTTTTTTTAAGGAGCAGTCCAGGTTACATCAAAATGGACATGTCAATATTTGCTGTGCGCAGACAAGGGGCGATTGAGTGATGTAATGCTGGGGTCTGAGTCTGTGCAGAAAATCCGCACAATTTGGACACTAATCTTTTCCTGCCAGGAGGTGCTCACACTTGCAGTAAGGAGTAGCTTTTGCTTGATTTTTTAAATGTCAAAATCGGGATTCATTCCACCAAAAGACGATCATAATGTGCTTAAAACCTTTTAATACAACTTTAAGTTACATTTGTTGACAGATTTGTCAGAATTGTGTTAGTTTTAGTTTCTCTTTGCATCAACCTGCTGGTTTGATTGGATTCAAGAGCGACTCCTGTTAGGCCTCAAAACCGACCCCAGCTAGTTAGCATTGCAACGATATCCAAAAAAATAGCAATAATAGTCAGTATCAGTCTGTGTAATTGTCTACCTGTGAGGCCTGCATTGCTAAATAATGACTCTTTCACACTCACACACTCACTCACATGCACACACTGTAATTAGGCAGTAGGCAGGCAGGCAGGAGAATGCTGTGATTACTCAACGAGTGACTCGAGGAGTTAAGTAGTACCCTGAAGGTGAGGCCGTGGCCTCCTCTCTCCTGTGCAAATAGGTGGAGGGATTATTTAGCCCGTTTAGAGTGTGTGTGACAGGGGGGAGGATGTGTGTGTCTGTGGCCTGTCTGATGGTCACCTCTGCAGCGTAAATAGTTATTCCTAAATAACAGAACGGCTGGAGAGGTGGAAAACAAGCTCACACCTCCACAGAGGGTCGGTTTGATCTAAGAGCAGTTGGATGTTAGCACACATACAGGCATCACACATTTGCAGAGTCATGTGAGTCAGGTTTCTATTTCTAATCTGGCCACCAAACACAGAGGATTCTCTTTTTGTTATTTCTCTTCACCGCGGCCCTTCGAAACCTCTCCGCGAGCTCGGCCATCTAGGACAATCATAATAATAAAGCAGAGCTCGTGGCATTAGTACGTAAGGCCTGTTTCCGCTGAGCGAAGAGCAGAGAAGTGCTTTTGAACCGTGTGTCGTCCAGACTCTGTAGAATCAATCAGGAGGGGTTTGCGAGCTTGACGCCGGGCAGCTCGACAGGATGGAAAGCCTTTTGTAGCATCGTAGCCGTTTTTCTAACTCGCAGCAGAGACTGAGAGTCCGTCTGCATGTCAACAAGCCAAACACCCGACCAGCCAGCCTGCCCAGATGCTCAGACAGACACACAACTGCCTGTTAGACAGACGGCCAGCAAGCAATGCAGGAATATTTACTGCATGAAGTTTCCACTACCATGGATATCTATCCACTTCAAGATGAAGTCATCCTCTCATCACTGGGGCTATTATGAGGAATGGATGCTTCCCAGTTGACTTTTTTTTTCTCTTTGAAGCAAGTCCCCCTTGAAGTGTGTTGAAAACGCACATGTCACAGTTTCCAATCGGCAGTGAAATTAGTGATGTTTTGATTACGCAGGGCTCGGAGATTACCAACGTAAACAGGTCTAGTCCATAGATCATCATTTCAAGAGGCATCATCCCCTTTTTCCACTTTGTCCAAACTCAGCAGCTCTCTGTGGCTTAGAGCTGATGAGAGTCGGACGTCCAGCTTCCAGTTTTTCATGTGAACATAAACCTAATGCTGGTTAAAGTGATATTTCCTTTCTCTGCAATGTTTAAATGGCCGACCACCAAAACTGGCTGCTCTGGCCACCTTTTTTCAGCAACACATTGTGATTGAGTTTGTCTAAAAATGTCTTCCTCTGACTTACAAAGCAAAAACATTTAGTCGTCATCCTACTTTTATCTTTGAACATCTCTTGATGATTGGATCTCCAGGGCTGCTGATGTTGTTCAGGGCTTCTGAGCTTAACACCGATTAGCAGTGTTAGAATAATCAACTAAAGCAAAGCATGACTTCTGATCTTGTGACACTTTGCCACTGAC